CTGCTGGAACAAGTTTGGGATTATGTTCCTGAGTGATTTCGTTTTAAACATGTTTTATTTGTTGTAGAACCAGCCACTCTTCATGTTTATTCAGGAACTATGTTAGTTAGAAAGCTGGAAAGTTGATTTAAATCAACGAGTTAGAACAGCATTTTATTCTTGGTGATTTAAATCAATTATTTGCATTGCAAAGGTCAGTGATGAGCCTGGCAAGGTTGGGGGAAGCACCCCTTTTCTTTAGAGGTGAAACTGTCAAGAGAAACAAGCTCAACTGAAAGCAAGTTCTGCACATCTCAAGGATTACTCAAAAGACAGATGGAAGTTAGTATTTTAAATAGCTTTTATAGACTCTGTAATTGAGTCTACTTTGGATTCTGCAACCCACTTTTTTAATCCAGATGCCCTGGTATGTCACTATTTACAACCCCCTTGAAAGCAGCAGGTTCGTGTCAGTATTAGTGAAGCTTGGTGGCATAGTCCCCTCTTTTCCTCTGCGCTTCTACAGCCAGATCTGAGAACAGGGAGGTTTGTGGTGAACTTAGTATAAACAACTCCCGTGTGACTTGGGTATAACAAGTGTGTGTGTGTGTGTGTGTGTGTGTGTGAATATATGAGCTTAGTTTGAGAGAACAGCTTTTACATTTCCCTTTGTCAGCATGAGTCAGTGTGAAGCAAGCAAATATATGTTCCCTTCTGAAGAGAAGCCTAATACGATCTTATTTATGAATATATGAATAGTGGTTTTGTAAATGTTGCATCTGAAACTTAAAGAATGATCTGACACTGACAGGCTAAAATGAACTCTACAGTTTTATTGTATTTAGTGGGTCAGATGCCGGGATGCCAAGTAGAAGTGACCTAGAAAACCTTTCTAGGTCAAACTATGGAAAAGCAAGTAGTTGGGCTTCCTTCTTCCATCAACCCCCCTGCCTCCCCCGCCCCACCGCCTCCAAGGGCAAGGCCATGCAATTTTATGCTTACCCCAACATTTTTTCTGTTTTTGTTTCAACAATGCAGCACAGAGCCTGAAAAAGATGTCTGAGAGCTTATATCATGCCCTTGGAGGAAAATAAACCTGATTTTCATTTCTTAGCATAATTGTTCCTTCCTTCCTTCCCATACCATTATCTGACGTATGTCTTGTATCCTCCACAAGATTCTTGAGCTGCAATCCTGTGCACACTTACTGGAGAGTAACCCCATTGACCCAAGCGCGATTTGGTTTTGAATAAATAAAAGGATATGACACATTTAAGATCATCCTTCCGCAAACATCTTTTTTGCAGTGTTGGGTTGCACTTTTGGACAGAGCAGTTGAATGGAAGATATTTCGGGTTGCCTCCAGTGCTACATGAGCAGACTTCTCCTTGAACAACAGGACTTCTCTCCTTTTCCCACACATCCCCCAAATCTGCTCCGGAGGATCTCTTGGTGGAGTAGATGTTGAGGGTGCGCGGTGGGGAGAGCTGCAGGGGGCAGGAATTAGAAGCTCCAGTGTGCATATAGAAGTATGCTGTGTGAGTGGAAGGTCAGCCTTAGATGCAAGCCTGAAATAATGCATCACCAAGCATTGGCACATTCCTGTTTCTTCCCAGGCCAACACAAACCCATAATGCTGGAATGGGGAGGAGGCAAGGCACAGTCTCCTCCTGCACTGTCTGAGGCTTTTTAGGTTTCCCTGGCTGCTTTGGCAAGAGTGGTGTTGCTGTAGCTTCCATGCCACTGAGGTAAGAACCCAGTCATCGCAGCTTCTGCCATCCCAGCAGAGCATTAAATTCTGAGGCTGTGGTGCCTTCTGAACAATTACAGCTCACAGCAGTCCAAATGAAAATGTTTGTTGAAAACAACATGTGCATAATTAAGGCTTAATGAGCCCTTGTCTGTTTGGAATCTGCAATTAGATTTATAATAGAAAATACTAGCAAATGCCAAATAGCTTTAAAAGAAGCTGAGATGAAAGGTAATTTTGTCGCAAATCTAGTAATACTGTAATTGAATTGAGCTTGGAAGTGTTGAGGAAAATGATGGGGAAAGTATTGGGCAGGTATGCATTGTGCAGGTTTATCTTATCTGCCTGTTTGCCTATCTTTGAAGCTGTCAGTCCCACTTTTAACTGTTTATTAGAGCCGCACAATTTCTCTGAAACAAGCACAGATTCAATTTGGGTTTTCCTCTAAGCTATTAATTAGTTGGACAAAGCTGCTTTTTACACTGTCTCATCAACGTGTTTTAAACTTATTGTTGGCCATAATGATGATAATGCACCATCTGAAGCTCTCATTGTTCCACGCAAGGTTTGTAGAGTAACGATTAGAAGATGGAATAAGTTGTAAATGTTCAAATGTTTTAAACTCGCATTGTCTTTGTATGGGGCCGAATGTTTTTTTTTAACACTTCCTCATTCTGCCCCTTCATGAATCATTCATGAAAAGGCCAGATAAGAACTTCAAACTTTTACACAACCTCCGACTTGTAAAGCTGCATGGAGGCTATTGTAATAGTTATTCCTTTCTTTCTAGCATGCATATCCTGCCTTTCATCAAAGTCACCTTTAGGCTGCTTAGAATAGGACACTAAAGTGCATAAACTTAAGTAGATGATGCCATGAAACAACAGAACCAGCTCATTTAAAAAATGCAGCAAAAATGCAATTAAAATAATCACTAATGCCATTAAAGACACGAGAGAGCAAGAAACTTTGCCCAGTATCTAAAAGATAAGGAGCCAATGTGCCTGGGGACTGAATTTGATAATTTGAGCACCACCACACAGAAGTCCCTGAGTCACCAGGGGATTCCCAGAGAAGAGTCTCTGCAGGAGTTATTAATTGGCAGGCAGTTCACACTGAAAAAGATGCTCCTTTAGATCATAGGTGGACACACTTCAGGCTCTTGAGTTTTGAATACCAAAACTGAATGAAGCTCACAGTGCTTCCATGCGTAGACCTATTCCTGGTTACTTCCCACTCTCCACTCATGGGCTTAAAAACATAAAATGAGCCTGCTAGATCAAGCCAACGTATAGCATCCTGTTCTCACAGTGGCCAACCAGAGGCCTGTAGGAAGCCTGCAAACGGGATATGAGCACAACAGTGGCAAGCTTAGTTCACCTGTATTAATTTCAACCATTTAATGGCTAGGTGGGGAAGTCAGTTTATCTAGGCACCCTTAACAAACTACAGTTCCCAAAATTCTTTGTGTATATGGAGGGGGAGGCGTGTGCTTTAAATACAGTACATGTAACTGAAATAATCACACATTTTTTTCTCTGCTTTCTCTACTTCCTTACACTTCCTTCCTTGTTTCTCCTTTGAATTTTAGTTTGTAATTTCCTCTGCCAAGGACTTGTCCTCTTGTATGCTGTAAAGCACCATGCACATTGATGGTGCTATAATAATAATATTATTATTAATAATATTGTATGTAGAATACTTATTAAACCAGCTGCAAACCCATGCACATTTAAAGAAAGCAAATTCCCTGAATTTCCGAGTAACTGCTTATAGGATTGTACCTAAAGCACCATGCAAGGGTGGGCCAAAACATCCCATAATTTTTTACCATTGCCCATTTGGGCTAGGGCTGATGGGAGCTGGAAGTCTGACTGTATCAGGTTCCTCACTCCTATAAATTAAGCTGGTGTTGGTGCAAGTATGTTTGTTTACAGATTTGCACAGCTGCTTCTGGGAAGGTTCAACCCATTTCATATTTCAGAGGAACATTTTTCTTAGAAGCATCCGGCATTCAAATGTATTTCCAATTATTTCATTTTAAGTTCTGTTAACTTGGCTATGCTCTCCTCAATTTAGATCCCTTTTAGATAGACAAATATGTTTATTTAAATAAATCATCCTGCTTTAAGTTTCTTTTGAGGTTTGTTGATCAGACTAATGAGCATACTCCATATTTTTCTCATAAGCATAAAGTCTGTCTGAACAGAAACATGAAGAAAATTGGCACAGATGTAGGCTTTCAGAAGAAATTATTCATATTAGGGCTGATCAGTGAGAGAACTTATTTGGGGAGGGGGAATACGGAAAGGTTAGGGGTAGAGAAAAACTTCCACATTAAAAATAAACCTGAACTTTTAATGGTAAGAAACATCCTTCAGCCTTGCCTGCATTTAGGTTTCGGCAAACTTTATTCTGGAATGATTTATGTTACTGCAAACTGTATTCTGTAGTATTCTAGAATTTTAAGTGCAACTTAAGTGATGGATATGAGACTTGTATAGGCCCCTGAAAAAGGCATCATACTTCAGGAATATTTCTCTCACACAAGAATAATTTATACTATTTGGCTGTAATACAGTGTGCGCTGCACTTGCTTTGATAGAAAGTGGGTGGGTTCCGCTGGGCACTTGAGTTTGGATGAGATGGTAAATGATAGTGCAAACTGAGTTCCATAAACCAGCCTCAAACCAAGATTTCTGGTGCTGGTTTCTGGGCCCCAAACAACCCATGTTTAGGGAGTCAGGTTGGGTTTTGATGTTAAAAACAATCCATAATTAAGCCAGGAAAACCATGGTTTAATGTAGCTTCTGTACCAACTGGGCCTGAGTGTGCAGCAGTGTACAGGCAGAATTTAAAGTCCACCACAAACTGCTTTGCAGGTCTAGATCCAGGTTCCTATGAGCCCTTAGGACTGGCCTGCTAGGCCATGGCTGATGGGTGGCCCTGGATCCTCTCTCCTCCTCCTGCCCTATTGGCAGGTGAGTAGGTGGGGAGGCCTTCCAACAACCAGCAGAGTTGGCGAAGGGACCAACAGAGGTGGTGATGCCCTAAGCACAGAAGAAAAAGCAGCAACAAGAAGGCAGTGCTGAGCCACCACTAGATGGCTGATCATTCTGCCTGGTGCTGCTTTGTTTGTTGCTTTGAGTACAGCCAAGGGGAAATCAAAAGAAAGCACCATTTCCCTTTTATTCATAGAATAATAAAGTTGTAGAGTTGGTAGGGAACCCAAGGGTCATCTAGTCGAACCCCCTGCAATACAGGAATCTTTTGCCCAGCATGGGGCTTGAACCCACGACCCTGGTATTAAGAGTCTCATGCTCTTACCAACTGAGAGCCCGGCATTCTTTTAACTGACATTCAATTATGAGAATCATTTAGCACGTTGTGAACCAGGCACTTATTCTCTATTTTTATCTGAAACCCTGATTTATCTTGAAAGAAAATAAAAACAAGGCAGTGTTTCTGGTTATCTTTTACTGTTATATTAACTGCTGGCAATCTCTGTGGATTCTTTGTATGTAACATCTCTCTCTGTGCAAATGTACTCTCCATTTCCTGTGAGTTACATACAAGGTGTCTTTGTGTGAGTAGGATATGAAATCAGTACCATTATCGGTTAACCTTGTTTGTTTCGAGTTGTGTATACGTCTCAACTCAATGTGTGGGGACATGCAAAACTTGTTTGCTCCTTTGTTAAAGAAATACCAGCCAGGCCTGCACAATCTCTGACTTAACAAATGAAACCCTGAAAGCGATGCATTTGGTACAGTGCATTTCATGTCATGTGACTCTTCTGCAGGGGCAATTGGTCTAATCTAGTCAAGGGTTAAAATAAAGCCGGGTTAACAGCAAAGCATCTTGGAGCACCTGGGCATTTTGCTGCTGTGCTGAAAGTGGCTGTTTTCCAACAGAGCAGTTTCAAAGGGGAGCTCTAATTGGAAAAACAAAGTTAATAGCAAAGTTTTATTTGATATTCCTTGAGACTTGAATAGATAATGGTTTCCTATCCCAGTACGAGGGCTGATTTACTTAACATTACAAGGATACAGTTACTTTTGTTGGGAGTGGTCATTATGCTTATTTTAAATTGAATCGACACAGGCTGTGGTTTTTGCATTTATCTGCCATTTTAACTCCATTGTTGCAGTGCGTATCTGATGAAGTGAGTTCACAAAACATGCCTGGATAAGAGGAATGTTATGATTATGTAAAACTGCAGATGTGACAAGCAGTTGAATATTAGTAAACTTAACTATGGGTTTCCTATTCCTAGGGAAAACTTTAGCCCCAAAGTTATTAGTCAGTTTCTATATCATGATTGCTCTTCACCAGAGCTTGTCACTCCTACTATGAAAATGACCAAATGGGAAAGCTGTATTAAAACTTATTTAATTCTGCATGCTTTTCAAAGGTGTCACAGAATCAGTTGCAGGAAATGCCCTGTGAAAGAAAGCTGCAATGTTGAAAAGGGACCTACATTTGATTTAAAAAAATAAAAAAATCAGCAGATGTTTTAATGCAGTAAAGGGGTGTGTGTGGATCCTATAAAAATGCTCCAAAGCCCGTTTTGCATTGCAGTGGTGCAAATTAAGTCACTAGCAAGTAAAGCCACTTCAAGTCTAGTTACTGAAACATCCTGGGATATGTTCAGATAGATCAGTGGGATCTATGTTTCTGGGTAGTGATGGTGGGGGTTTTTGCCTGCTGGCTTTTGAAAACTCACACTGGGTTAAGTTTAAATGTTCCTGTACATATTTCATAACTATTTTTTCTCTCTCAATCTTGCCTTTAGAGCCTGTATTCATTTCCTGGGCTAATGCCCGGGGTAACTTAAAGAGAAGGGCCGTATATTAAGAGTAGGATTTGATTACTTGCAGTAGGACTTATTTATTCCAACAGAATTGTGGCAATACTGCTGAGAAAGGTATTTTCTGAGGGTCAAATGAAAGCCAAATTTGACAGATCTTCTGCCATCCTGTGCATATCTTACTGGGTAAATCTTTGCCAACATGTTTTGGAGCAGTATATTCTGCTTGCTGTTGAAATGTTTCCGAAGTCTCAAATACACCAGGAACATCTTTTGGATACTGTTCAGTGGAAAAGCTGCTTTCTTCCCACCAGCTCTATTTGCATATTTAATAATGGATATTTATTAAGAAAATATTGTCAGTTCATTCTCAAAAAGAGAGACTTTAAAGCTGCCCTGGAATTTACATGGATTCTATCTTTCTATCAATGAATTCAAGGCAGTGTATTTAGGGTTTCCAGGAATCTTCAATCTTTGAACCAAGAAGACCCAAATCTGCTTAGCTTCAGTAAGGTGGCTGCAGTGTGATGCTTGAGGAAGTAAAATGTGTGGTTGAGATTTTTCTCTTTTGCCCTGTAGAGAGTAATTTAATTGGCTCTAGTATAGTAATCCCTGGGTTTTAGGCGTCTATAGACTACTGGGGAAAGTTGGAAAAAGGGAAGCAACAGCAGCAGTACATCTCCACGATTTAAGAGAAAAGTATTGACCTTTGTTAAACAGAGAAGAAATTCTATTGGACCCAACCCACGGTTTTGTAGAAATATAGAAATCTTTATAGCCTTTCCTTATTGGGGTCTTTTAGGAAAAAGCACATAGAAGGAATAGCCGAACAAAAAAATGGCTGCAAAGTAATCTCTGTTCTTTATAACACTTTCCTTTTTCTTATACATTCAGCCCTGAAAGGGTTAGCTCAGGAGTTTGATCTCTGCAGTGTTTTCACATTCTGTTTCTAATTTCCATGACAAAGATTGTAGGAGGGACAGAATAAGGAACAAAATTTGCAGGCCAATTTGAGGGCTATAATGGGAAGAGAAAATGGCAGGGGCAAAGTGGGGAGAGAGGGAGAAGAATTGTAATTAGACTTTGAAATAGAGAAAAATATTAATGTGCTTCCATTTCAGTCTAAAAACTAACTTTCTCTTACTGAAGCTGAGGGTTATATGGGAAGGATCTGAACTGTTTAGCAAGTTCTTGAATAAACTGTGTGAATTATTATATGAATTATACCCACTAAGGAGCAGCTGTATTATTTAATGTACAGCAGTACCTCCAAATTCCTTACTATTGTTGATGATTAACAGTACAACCCATAAAGCACCCTTAGACTGTAGTCCAATGGGAATTATTTTTAAGCAAATGTACATGAACTACATGCATTATTAGGCTTGAAAGGACTGGGATGAGGAACACACATCTTTCTTTGACACTCCTTGAAGTTGTTTATTGAGCAGGAGGTCCTGTTTGTTTCAAAAGCATTTGCTTCCAAAAAGTCGGAATTGCCACTTTCATCTTGAATTTCTCCCTCTCTCTCTCTCTTGAAATAATAAAATAAAAGTAGAAAGAAAGAATCCTTTGAAAGAAAAACTACCTCACCAGCTTTAAATCCAAATGTGGCATTAAATCCAAAACAGAATCTCACAGCAGCTTGAAAACCATTCCTTAGTAAATGCCAAATCACTTTTGCAGTAGCTTTGCTTCTGTAACCACCTAAATAGCGTGAGAAATAACAATGCATGCTGTAGCGATGAAAACAAAGTCGGTGGTCAGCCCTGTCACATAGTGTGTGCAGCAGTGAGAAATAGAACTGTTGCTACTTAGTTCCCTATAGTTTTCTGAGGGTTTAAATAAATCTGTTGCTGAACTATTGACCCTCTTTGACATTACCAACTCAGGGGAAATCCATGCATTTCAGTGGTCAAATGAATAATGCTAAGTGGATCACTGTGGGCAAGAGTTTGTATAAAGGTCTTAATGGGAAAACTGCAGTTAAAAGAGATTAGGCTAACCTTAGTGGTATATATTCCCAGAAGGGAGCCGATGCTTAATAATTCTTTTAGGAAAACACACTGGTGGCCCTGTGGGTAGGAGATTTCAATGGCAGCAGGCCAGAGGAAGACATTTTACATCCCTGGGACTTGACAGAAATGAGCATTGACAAAGCAGGCATGGCAGCATTCTGAGGTGTTTGTTTTAGTATTAACCCTGCAGATTGTACATATGGCTTCTGATCTGCCACAAGGACATGGAACTTTACAAGGAAGGAACCAGCACAGGGATTAATATTACAGCTAAGATGGAAGGAGAAAAAAGATGAAGGGAAAACTACAGTATTTCGATTCTTAAAGCCTGTAGGACAGGCATGTCCAAAGTCTGTTTTGGGGGCCTAATCCGGCCCGCTGGTCGATTTAATCTGGCCCCTGTGGCAGTTTATTTCCTGGGGTAAAATCCTAAAATTAAAGATGTATTTTTAATCTTTGTTGGAAGCTGCCCAGAGTGACTGGGGAAACCCAGCCAGATGGGCGGGGTACAAATAATAAATTATTATTATTATTATAAAAAAACCCTTAAAAATAAACAACTTTGGTTGGCCCTTTGATCGGCCCTCATGACCTTTCACTTCATCAAATCTGGCCCTCTTTGAAAAAAGTTTGGACACCAGTGACGTAGGAAATGTAATTTTTTATAATGAAGTTAGAAGTTTTATTTACAAATAAATAAATAATAAAAGCAGGTGTGTGTGTTATTATATCTCAACCCGCATGGCAGTATAAATTTAATAAGTATTGACACAAGAGCGTTGCTATTCACACACACACACACACACACACACACACACAATGCTTTAACAAATAAATAAAAGGGTATTTCCTGTACATCCCTGGTAGATATAATCTTTAAGATTGGTTAAGACTCAAGACTTTAAGATTGTCAGACAAACCCATGCAAAAGCTCCCTTTGTTTTCATTGGATATTGAATATTAACTACCCAGGAGCTCTCTCCATCCCGCCCCCTTTATTTTGAGCATGTTTATTTTGGTAGCATTGGAGCCTATGGGCTCACTCATCCGTTCTGTGCAAAAGTATGTGACACGACATAGCCACATCTTTAAAAAATCCCATAACACTTCAGTATTTAAAAGCTCAATATAGTTCAATCAAAATAGTAGCATTTGCAGATTGGGATTTTGATATCGCTGTTAATGATACACAACTTCTTTCTGTTGTGAACCGCCCTGGGATCTTCAGATGGAGGGCAGTATACAGATTTAATAAACAAACAACAGCTTCATCATCAAGCAGTTTGCAACATCCCAAACTGTTTAGGGCAAGGATTAACAACCATTTTGGGCCAGCAGGCATATTCTGAATTTTGAGAAAGTGCTGTGGGTGCCAGTTACAAAACGACTGCTTTGAGGGTGGCGGTATAGCACAGAATTAGAGAAAGTCTCTCAATAAAACACATACGGAACATACTTGAGCCTCCCATCCACCTCCCATCAGAAAGGCCCTTTTACAAACAAACCCCAATTCCACACACACCCAACAAACCACCCACAAAACAGGACCACCAACCAGGATGTCTAAAGCTGCTGGATTAGCCATCCCTGGTTTACAGCTTTGTAAGTAAAACATACATTTACTTTTATTCATTTGAATGTACGGAGTGTGGAAAGTGCATCAGGGAAGGTTCAAAACTGACCATACCTCTACAGACACACAGCGGAGAAACTATACAAGTGAATAGTTGAGGGAGTTGGGTATGTTTAGCTTCGAAAAGAGGAGACTGAGAGGACATATGATAGCCATCTTCAAACATCTAAAGGGTTGTCACATGGAGAATGGATCGAGCTTGTTTTTCCCTGCTATAGTGGCTAGGACACACCAACCAATGGATTCAAGAATGGAGATTCTGACTAAACATCAGGAAGAACTTTCTGATTCTAAGAGCTGTTTGGCAGCGGAACAGACTCCTTCAGAAGGTGGTGGATACTCCTTCCTTGGAGGTTTGTAAGTAGAGGCTGGATGGCCATCTGTTATGGATGCTTTAGCTGAGATTCCTGCATTACAGGGGGGTTGGACTAGATGACCCTCAGGTTCCTTCCAACTCTACAGTTCTATGATTCTAACCAGAGTTTGGATTGTGTTGTTCCTAGAAATGAACTGGAAGCCAATGCAAATTAGAACCAGAGAAGCATACAGTATTCAAAAAAATGGGCCCCATTTAACACTCTGGCTGCTACAACTGTGTGGGGCTAAACATTTTTTAAGGGCAGCCCCACACAGAGTGCTTTGCAGTTGTCTATACTGATTGGGAACAAGATGTGTTAAAGTGGCCAGATATTCTTTCTCCACTGGCTGGTATAGCTACAGCATCTGGCAAAACTGTGCAAAGACATCTTTGAGCTCAGGTGCTACCAGACAGTTTAGGAGCAAAACCAACTCCAGGAACACGCCCAGACTGCTCTCAGGCTTTCCCATCAATGTCTGTGAAATTTGCTGCTTTGTTGACAGTGCTTTCCTGTTCCGATTCTGGACAAGATGTTTGTATTTTTTAAAGATCATTTACAAACAAAAAAATCCCAATTCTTGCAGCTTTCTTTTTACTATTTTTATAGTGCTTATAGTATTTGTAGTGCATGTCAATGTTACCTTTAAAAACGTTAAAAAGCTGCATTCCATTGCTTTTTATCTAGAACAAATGACCTAAAATTGCAAACTGAAGAAGAAACAAATTTATGGGAATCTGTTTTGCAGTTACTACCTAAGCAACATGGAGGGTGGTATTTTGCTAAATTCGAAGTTTGAATGAAAAGGTTAAAGACACTTAGTTGCTTTTTTCACCATAGCTCATTGCAGATACCACATCAAACATCAAGCCACTGATCTAGTTACAGTTAGGTAGCCGTGTTGGTCTGCCGTAGTCGAAACAAAATAATAATAAAAAATTCCTTCCAGTAGCACCTTAGAGACCAACTAAGTTGGTTATTGGTATGAGCTTTCATGTGCATGCACACTTCTTCAGATTGTTTCTTCTTCTGTTTCAGTGTATCTGAAGAAGTGTACATGCACACGAAAGCTCATACCAATAACCAACTTAGTTGGTCTCTAAGGTGCTACTGGAAGGAATTTGTTTGTTTTTTGTTTTGTTTCAATTAAGCCATTGAATTCAGCTTGACACCTCCATGGCTGGTTGTCAGTTAATCCTAGGCGTGGTGTTATTTCTCACACAGTTCCACCCTACTTCAAATTATGTAACCAGCAAACAGTAACAACAACACAGAAGAATAGTGTGCTAGATAACAAGCAGAGGAATTATAATACGTGTGTGTGTGTGTGTGTGTGTGTGTGTTTGTGTGTGATAAAACATGAAGAGAACCAGTTCTTGAAATCTGATCGTAGATAAGCCAAAAGGAGAGACCCAAGTATCAAAAGCAACAGTTGAAATTCAGTAAGTGGGTATCAAAAATAGTTTAATGCAAACTACCAAATCCTGATGTTTTTTAAGCTGGTATGCTGCTCATGAATGAATATTAAAATAAAATTCCTAGCTCTGTTCTTCAACATCTCCAGATGTAATCTGAAGGGGGGGAATTACCTGTTGAAGAACCAAATTAATATCTTTTAAAAAATCCTCCTATCCATTTAAAAAACGTAATTTGGTCTCTGGTAGTAACAATGCCCACTTGTTTACCTCCTTCTCCTTTTAGTGGTGGTGTGTATAGATGCACTATATACACTATATGTGTTATATATAGAATCATAGAATTCTGGAGTTAGAAGGGACCCTGAGGATCATCTAGTCCAACCCCCTGCAATGCAGGAATAGGCAGCTGTCCCAAATGGGGATTGAACCTGCAACCTTGGTGTTATCAGCACCACACTCTAACCAACTGAGTATTAATATAGATAGACCATTTTGGCTGTGAGACCTGCTCCCTGCCTTGCATGCCTTTTTACATCTGGCCTGGGAGGGCAGGGACCTGATTGATTCCACCTACAAAAGCCAAGATTGCTGAACAGACTCTTCTGTTTGGGGTATGATTTAGGGTTAAAAATAATAATAATAAAATCTTTATTTTTCAATCTTACGATTTGTCTGGAAATTGTTCAGTTTGGCTGAGTACTTTCTAATGTGTTTTATTAATGGTTTGTGACTACTTTTGTTATATTTGTAATTATGTAGAATAATTTCATGTTGGAAGACACCTTGAGCATGGTTTTAACTATGGAAAGTCAGCATACAAATAAAATGATGGTAGTGTTAATATCCAACTTAAATAGAATAGATAAAATCTTTCAGAGCTTTGCAAGAATTAGACATCACCCATGCCTGTTTATCTTTTTCTGCTCTAGAATTCTTCTTTGTTTATTGGGCATACAAAGTAAAATATGTATTTTAAATCAATTGCATGGGGACAGAAGAATAATTAAGACAGTAGTTCCGGGCTATTTTCTCTCTCAAATAAACAGAACAAGGAAGAAAACTGTTTCCATTGTGCAGGATGTTTAGGTAATTAAGGATAAATCAGATCGATTTTTTTTATCGAAAATAGAGTATGATGAATGTATGTCCTTATATCTGGAAATTGATTAGTATCTCGACATGCATGAGGAGATACTTCTAATCGAAACTGGGAGAAAACCATCCTAACAAAAGGAAAATATTAAAATATTTTGTTTCAACCGTAAATCAGTGTGGAATGATGAAGCCGATTGTCTTCAATTTCATTGCGCAGTGCAATGAGAATGAGAATGCAGCACACATTATTTATTTCCTATACCTGGCTATAGCATAAGTGGCAAACATTTAATTGAAAAAATACCCTGGCAGGAGAATTTTTATAATAAATTTGTTTGTGCCCTTACTGCCTGGAGGGGTAAAAAAAAAAAAAAAATCTAATCTGCAGTAAGGAAGTTCTGAAGTTTCCCCTGAATTTTGAGGGTTGATTTTCAGCCTCACTGGTTGGCAATCAGAAGCACAGTAATTTTCAAGACAGGCTTCATTACAGTTACTGAGTTGGCGACAAGTATAGTATATAAAGCAATAAAACAAGTATGTTTTACCAAATTGGAATTACATAACGGGAGAGTCTGCATTTGCTTCCAAGGAAATAGCACCTTTTAAAAAGGCATAGATATGAAGATGAACTCAATTTCTTGCCTAGTTCTAGAATGGAGCTGATACAATTAGGGCTTCATCCTGGAGATGGAAAATAATGGGTTTTGAATGGATATAGAAATGAGCATGCATTTTATGAGAGATGTAGATTAATACTGCTTGCAGTAGTGTACATCTGGAATAGAAGATATGCAATATTTGGTGCAATGCTAAATTCACCTCCTGTTGATTTGTGTTTTGTAATCATGGTTTCAAAGCTGCAAGCTTTGTTTTCTAGTTGCATCATTGTGGGAGTCAACTCTACTGATTTGGAATCTGGAACGCTTAATGTAGTTGCAAGTTATTGAGATTATGGCAGACTAGATATGATGCAACAATATCTGAAACAGTGTTCTAATGTTTCTAACGTTTCACAGAAAAAAATAATATTGAAGTCACATGTGTATATATTAGGGCTCCACATCAGCCCTAAGATCTGCGTCAATCTGTAAATTCGAGTTCTAAGTGGTTCTGTATTAAATGAAGCTGTGTGTTCCCGATTCACTATAATCTAAAATAGCTGTAATTTTTACCCCCATTTGGCCAAAGTGGATGAAATTTACAAGCACAGGAGCTTTTCCAGGATGAAGCAAGCCTGCCAAATTGCAGACAAATCAGTTCAGAGGCTTTTGTAGGATAATTAAAAGGATCCAGGTTCCTCCATAACTCATGTTAGGGCAATTGATCTAGTAGGCCAAAACTCTAAAATCCATAGGTTTCATATTCATTCAGGGGGAAGAGTGGGAGTTTGTCTCTTGTTCTTTCTTACTTTAAAATAATTAAAAGGTGACTGAGTGATATGCATTATTGCTTGCACAACACAATTTAACACTAAGCTTTCTGGTGCTTATTTGGAATGGTGGAGTAGGGGAATCCTGCCCTGACCGTTGCTGACCCTGTGTAGGTCATATGGTGTACATAGCATGGGTTGATTTCATGTTGTGTAACAGATGCAATACCGTTTGTGGCCAGCCTCTCCACACCCTAAGTCACACCCAGGTCACTATTACTTTACCTTTCATTGTGTGCAGTGTGGTGGCCGTCCTTGCATAAACTCAATTCAGTGCATGATGACATAGTAGTTGTGTCATCAAAGGAACTGAGCAGGTTTTTGAGACTTGCACTTTATTTTATGACATGTAAACTAAGGTGTCATTGATGTACCTATTTATCAAAGCTATTGTTTCTGGTTTTCTCCAGTGTGATTAAAATTCTTCAGTTATTTTCAGTTAATGCCTTGCTAGGTGGGGACTACATATGAAGCTGTAAAACAGGGGTCTCCAGTTCTGTATTTTATTAAATAACAGGGTTGGGGATGTTTATCAAGGGGGATGGGAAGGAAGGGAATTATTATCCTTTCCTTGCCTGCCAATGCCCTCCTACAACCCCTTCTTCTGTTCTTCTGCTACCACCCCTCGCTCCAAACAGATTTGTTTCCAGGCTCAGAGTCCAGCTGATGGGAAAGCTGATGGCATATTGAGTTTGTATGCATCAGAAGAAGTTTGAACTTTTGTACTGAAATATCTTGGAGGAACATGTTTACCCTTAGAAGCAGTCTCACTGTGATTTTTAGTGCGGAACACAGGAAAGTTAAATTTATTAAAGGAAATGCATATTTAGGTAGTTCCTAGTTCAATTCTATCAAAGTTGGAGGTACAAAGAGCCATACTTATTCTTTCATCTCGGTAAAGACACACAAGATGTCTTCTATCTCATAGTGGGATGAATGGAGAAGGAAGGGATGGAGGAGGTCAGCAACCCTAAAAGTATCAGTTTAGCGCATGTTAGTTCGGAAAAACAGTCTAGGAAGCTTGGCGTTTCCTCCCTTTATCTGCATTCTCCCCATGCAAAACCACCATACTTACTACAAGCTAGGTTGCATCCCAACATTTCCAGCAAATGGTACCTGGGGGATGGGGAGAAGTGTTATGTGGTGGATGAGATAAGCATTCCTACTTCTCCCAAGTATTTCCCCCTGCAAAGACCACCCAGCACCTGCAATCATGTTGCAGGATCCCATGTTTGCCAGCATTTCATATAGCTCCAGACTTTCAGCCTTTGTTCAAAATCATTGCCTGAAGAATTCTGTTTAAAGCCTGAAGCTTACAGATTTCAACCAGTGATGTTGATGTACTTAAAAAGTTTCATTGACCTGTTTTATATTTTTGTTTGTTTAAAATCCCAGATAATTTGAATAATAATGCAAAAGATCAGCTACTCTAGCTGTGTCCTGGCATCCAGTCCTTTTCTGGTGCTCAGATAAAGTAACCAAGAAAGGGGTTCTTTAAGTCTGGCTTGAGCTTACTGTAGAAGCTTTATTACATTGCACAGTTCTGAAGGTAAGATTGGGGCCTTCCCTGTAAGAACGTGCACCAGAGAAAGAAATCAGAACAAGTTTGGTGATTTCCTTCAGGTTCTCAGTCTCTGCGGTTCAAAGCACTCTTACGTGATATTTCACTGTGCATAATTTTTGCTATGTTGCCCCATAGCAATACAGATGAGTAAGAATTCACTCGAGCAGTTTTGACAGATTCATGCTGATAAGATGCTGAATAAAGGAGGGAGACAAAAGAAATAAGTAAAGGTGAGCAGGAGAGAAAACTGGAGCACAGGTTAATCTTTGTCACAGTTCCTTTTAGGTTTACATGTTTTTTAATACTGTAATTAATGCAGAAAGTATAATTTGTAAGAAATAATCCAATATGGCTTGTATAATTACAAGGGTTTACACCCAGCATCTTGTGCCTGTAGTAGAGCTATTTGAGTATCAGCTGCTAGATTGAGAAAGCCTTGTATGCCAAAGGGCCTTTCCTTCATTCAGGAGGCAAGGGTCACCTGAGACTTTGTGTCTTGGGCAGGGACTCTTGTTAATTGTAAGATCAGTTTTCTGTTGGAAGCCTGCTGCTTCTGTTTCCAAATGACTTTGCAAGAGATATTGGTTGGAGGATAACCCAAAGTATCAAGTAGCAGGGAAGGATTGGCAAACAGAAACACAGACATACACACAATCCGAGATGTAAATAGTGCCATTCTCCAAGTGGCATGGGTAACATCTTTAGAAGTCAGAAAATAAGTTGTATAGAGGAGACCAAGGTAGTGTTCACATTCCCATTTACTGTTTGCTCATTGCATTTCCAGTGTTGGTCTTTCATCCATGTTCACATTATAATTTCCAAAATGCATCTGTATCCTGTACAGTGGTACCTTGGTTTACAACCATAATCCATTCCGTAGGTCCGTTTGTAAACCAAAACAGGTTGTAACCCGAGGCACGCTTTCACCAATGGGGCCTCCAATTTTTTTTGTTCGTAATAAAAAAAAAGGGGGGGGGGCTATAATCCAAAAAAAGGTTGCAAACCGGGACAGACACTTCCGGGTTTGATGTGTTTGTAATCCAAAATGTATGCAAACCAAGACGTATGCAAACCAAGGTACCACTGTGCTTTGCGTTGTTTCCCAAACCAGCTTCACATTGATTGGAGCCCTAAAGCTGTTCCTAATCCCACTCTAGCGATGGTGTGAAACACCTCCACCGCTCAACATCCCTTGGTGTGCGCTCAGACATAAAAGAATTGAAGCTTTGCTGATGTGAGCAGCTGGGGAGGGGGGGGAGAGCTGTGAAACGCAGCAGAAGACAACAATTTCACTGTACTCAAAAGCAATAATATGAACAACTCTAAGATACAGGTGTATTTTTTTCCTAGGTGGGAAGTTGCAGTGTACTTTCCCTCCATAGGCTACCATAAGCTGCTAG